CGATTTTGCACGATCGAATATCAGGAGTGTGGGTCCTGTATTCTTATACTTTGCAAAATGTTCTAGCCATAAAATAAACGCCTCATTTGATCCTGGTGGTCGATGATCATTCCATTTAGGCTTTAATCTCTTCTCTTTGAAAGTAATGAACGGTGGGATGGCTTGCCCCAGGGCATTTCCACAACCCACAGTAATAAAATTTTCACCGTGTTTAGGCGCTGTCAAGTGGATACGTTTAGCACATTTCTTGGAAAATACAGTTTGCTGTTTATGGATCGTTAGACGGCAACCTTTCTCGTCATATTTTACACGTTTTCAGGTTTATCAAACAATTACAATTTAATTAATACTTCCTCCAATTTCTTAAAATAATCCTTTACAATCTGATTATTTAATCTATCAATTTAATGAATACTTCCTCCAATTTCTTAAAATAATCCTTTACAATAAATGGATTCATTTTCTGTACTCTTGCTGGATTAATTTGCTGAGCCTTCTTTCGAGCTACATCCGGATGTCTTGCAAATATTAATTTCAACCATTTTCTTCCTGCTAATTTAGATGTATAAGAAAAAAGATTGGGAGTGTTCATTATCATTGCAAACGAAAATATACTTTTTCGTACTATTTTACTAGTTATTGGTATGACCATCTCTGCTAGTTTATGAATTCTGCGAACTAGATCTGTTTCTTGTTCAAAGCTTAAAACACTTGTTCTTCCAAGTCGTTTAACCGAATTTTGGCTGCGATAATGTAGTCCAAGTGTTGTTCGAGTTATTTTATATCGTAATGAAGCTTGGCTTATACTGCTTCCATCTCTTATTGCTTCTGACACTTCAACGAGATTTGCCTCAGACCACAGGGCCCTCTTTCTATTTGGCATTCCGTTGAAAAGAAAGTTTTTATTAATACAAACTAAATTTTTATGTTGGGTTACAAATATTGCAATATTAGGAACTTTCCAATGCTTACCAACTTTCTACTGCAACACAAACTGTATGCAATGAACACTTTTTTAAAAAATAGACGTGGGCTAGTCCAGACGGAAGAACTAAGAGCGAATATGATTATATAATAACAGACAAAAAGCAAATTATTCAAGATGTCACTGTACTAAATAAACTATCAGTAGGAAGCGACCACAGACCAGTAAGAGCTAGAGTAACGATAAATCTACAAAAAGAAAGAACAAAGATGATAAACAGTGGCAAACGCATAGTTTGGAATTCACCAAATCATCCAGAAGCCTACATAAAAAATATAGCCGAAACTTTACAGAGTAATAATCCCAAACCTCTAAGTATCGACGATCACAATAAATTAATAACAGACTCGGTTAGAAATGCACAACTCAAATTTTGCAAAAAAAATGACACCAAAAGTGAAAAGATTAGCAAAAATACAAAAGCTCTCATGGAAATACTACGAATCCTAAGCGAGAACGAAAAGGGAAACAAAGAAGAATATAAAAAACTAAATAAAAGAATTTCAGCGGAAATTAGAAAAGATGTAAGAAGATATAATACTAATGTAATTACTCAAACAGTAGAAGAGAATAAAGGTTTAAAGATAATGAAACAGAAAACTCACACAAAGTAAAAAAGAAATATACAAGCTGAGAGATAAAGACGGAAAGGCAACAACAGATAAACAAAACATTCTGAAAATAACCAGAGAGTTTTATAAAGACCTCTATACCAGCCAAAGACCACAAGACAATTTCCCGACACGAGTAAAGACTCTCATAAATCAGGGATCGAAAATACTTTTATCCATTACTGTGTCAGAAGTAAGAGCAGCTTTGAAGGAAATGAAGAACCATCGATCGCCTGGTGATGATGGACTCGTTATCGAGGCAATAAAAGCAGAAGGAGAAATTTTATTAAAATCAGTAAGCGAATTGTTTAATAAATGCTTACATGCGCGTACAATTCCAAAAGACTGGAACAATGCAGTAATAGTCTTGTTACACAAAAAAGGCGATATTACTAAATTAGAAAATTATAGACCCATCAGCCTCTTGACACATTATGTACAAACTTTTTATGAAAATCTTAACAAAGAGGCTAACACCTAAACTTGACTTCTATCAACCCAAAGAACAGGCAGGCTTCAGGGCAGGATATGGCACAAATGACCATTTGCATACCATAAAGATCTTAATAGAAAAGTGCATCGAGTACAACATACCACTGGTTCTTGCATTTGTCGATTACGAGAAGGCTTTTGATTCTGTAGAGTTTGAAACAATACTGGAAGCCCTAAATCAAAGCCGAATAGATTACAGGTACACGACACTAATCAAAAACATCTACGAGAACGCTACATCAAGTATACGACTACACGAAGACACAGAAAAATTCAGCTTAGGTCGAGGAGTTAGACAAGGAGACAATATTTCACCAACATTGTTCACGGCAGCTCTAGAGTCAATATTTAAGAGCATCAATGGCAAGATATGGGCATCATATAGATGGAGAAACATTAAATCGCCTAAGATTTGCAGATGATGTTGTATTAATCGCAGATAATTTACAAGATACAGTTTCTATGATCATTCGCTTAAAAGTCTGTCTGAAAGAGCAGGATTAAAGATAAACTTTGAGAAAACTAAACTTATAACAAATCTCGTAATGAGTGGAAATATAACTATTGACAATAATACCATAAAACAGACACTTACAAATATCTGGGACACGAAATCAAAATAAGCGAGACAATCAAACACATGAAATACAGAGGCGAATAGGCCTAACTTGGGCAGCATTTGGCAAATTAAGCCATATTCTAAAAAGTTCAATTCCCATGTGTCTCAAGCGAAAGGTTTATAACCAATGTGTTTTAGCTGTACAAACTTATGGAGCAGAGACTTTAACACTCACGCAAAAATCTGCGAATAAACTCAGAGTTACACAACGAGCCATGGAACGTGTAATGCTGAACGTGAGCCTTCGAGACCACATAACAAACCAACAAATCAGGCAAAGATCAGGAGTTCAAGACGTTATCGAAAGAACCACGTTGCTTAAGTGGAACTGGGCAGGGCACTTAGCCAGAGCACAAGATGGACGGTGGACAAGACGTATTATGGAATGGAGGCCCAGAAACTATAAAAGAAGCCGAGGACGACCCCCGACTAGATGGACCGATGATATAAAACGTGTAGCGGGAAACTGGCTACAAGCGGCCCAGTGTAGAGAACACTGGAAAGAACTGAGGGAGGACTATGTCCAGCAGTGAACGCGATTGGCTAATTGATGAATATTAGGAACTATTTTATGTGGCAATATTACGATCATTACTACTGCGGAACAAAAATGACAATTTATGTTTTATTCTCTTTTATATTAACAACACGGAATATGGATTAATAAAGTACTTGAATGTACCTACCTGATAACGTTCTCACCCTTTTATAGTCGGTATTAGCTAGCTTATAACAGTCATTACAGTTTTCCACTTTTATAAACAAATCAATGCGGCAATATTAGTAGCATGGCAATATTTGGCGCACTTACCTCATTTGACAGAGTATTGTTGTCAAAGTTAGGCCACACGTAGTACAGAATGTGTATAACGGGTTGCATTTCGTAACAATGAATAAATGATTTTTATTTTATGATTTATTATTTAATAGACCAAGAGCTACTAAACCCTCCAACTAACGTTGTGTCTGTAAGACTAGAAATTCTTATAAGGATGAGTCATAGCACACTAAGTATAGTAACCATCACCTGTCATACATCAGCCCTGCGCGTCATGAACCCCTTAGCTTTAGAAATGTAGAACAAATTGTCAATTGCCAGTTGCGATTGGAAAAACTCTCACCATACCTCCTCCCAGCTTTAATAGAGCCAAAGGAGGTGCTCGAAATGTTTTGGGCATAATATAAATTCAAACAGTTGAAGTTATATACAAAAGTAGGACCAAATACGAAACAATAAACATACTTATTTCGAAGAGGCAAATAAAATAATGCATCGAGAATTTTGTTAATTTCGAAAATGTGTCCGACGTTCAGCTGTTTCAAAGAGAAATTCGTTTTTTCCGTTTAGTTATAGCTGTTATAGGCAGTTAATATTTACCTTCCGGTATATGAAATATTACGTTGATCATTATACTTTTTTTTCTTTCTTGTATGTAGGCTTTAAAGCCTGTTTTCTTCTTTAATATTAGCCTCCTAAATTGTTTAAATTATCGCATTATCTTTTTCTTGGTCTGCCAATACTTCTTCGTCCATTTGGTGACTTATCTCGTGCTATTGGTACTATCCTATCCTCTGCCATTCTACTGGGTTGTTCGTTCCACTCCTCTTTCCGTTTTGTCATTTATACATTTATGTCTTCTATATTACATGCTCTTCTTGTTTTCCCTTTTCTCTCTATCTACCACACTTTTCCCCCAACAGAGTTCGCATTAGCCATGATGATTTCCAACTTTCGATAGAAGATGGAACTTAAACGAGAAGAAGTACCGTACAAGTCGCTTTTCATCCTTTTTATAAGCTGTTTCCTGTATTCATTTTTTGGTCTTTTTACCAACTGATTTGTTTCATTTCGTATTCTTCTATAGGTGTCTTAGGATTCTTGAGTATTTGATGTTTTCCTTTTATTTCTTTTCTAAACCATGGTGTATTAATGTTGTTTCTTTTGTTCAGTATGACTTTGCGTTTTTCTATAGCTTTTGTTGTTGCTTCTTCAATGTTGTTTTTAATTTTCTCCCAACTTACGTTTCTATCTTCCATGTCGTCTATTTTTTTTTTGCTCAGCTGTATCATCTGTGCTAGCCTCCCTTGGTATATTTCTCTTGTAGAATCGTTCCAAAGTGACTTTACATTAAATTTTCACTGGTGATTTCCCGTAGAAAATGTTTTATTGTTATTTTCATTCTTATTTTTGCTCGTTCTAGTTTATGTTCACTTCCTGTGTCTGCTAAGTTTAAAGATATAACGAGGTTTATACAATGTACATTATTCTATTTGATTTTACTCTTTTTTTTAGATACAGAGAAGGTGCCAAAACAAGATCCAAAATCATGCACGACCAGCCAGTAAAGCAGATCGACGAAGCAATGTTCTGGATAGAATACGTGGTTCGGCACAAAGGAGCTCCACATTTAAGATCTCAATCTGTTAAGTTACGATGGTATCAACTGTATTTACTAGACGTATTAGCTTTACCAATATTAGTAGTTGTTATTTTATTGTTAGTAGTTAGACGCTGTGTTAAAGTAGTTTTTAAGAAAAAATCCAGTGACAAAAAGATTAAAAAACAATAAACAAGATGTAGTATAGGTATATGTCCATGATAATATTTTTTCACGATAATACGATCTTCAACAACTTCCTATACTCGATAGGTAATACTTGTTTCTTTCGATTAAATGAACACTTTTAGTTATACATTTGGATAGACTGAATAAAGAAGACATACTCCTTAAGAGCAAAAAAGCTATATATGAGATTTGTTCAATTGAAACCAATCTTTGCCAAAAAAAATATTGGCAAATAAATCCACAATATAAGCTACATATCTTTTTGTTTCAACAACCGATGTGCACCATACTTAAATAATTCTTGAGCCAGTTACTCAAAGAATTATTTTACGAAATTTGTACTTCTCGTCTGACTAAAAACTATTATTATAAAACGCCTTTTTCAGTGATCCACAAATGTGAAAATGGCAAGGCGATCTATCAGAACTGATAGAACATATAAGAACTAGAGTGGATGCTATAATATCTTTTATTTCTTTCGTTGTAGATTTCTTTTTACTACTTTAGCAGCATGAGGTGAAGCTTTGTCGTGAAGAAAAATGACAAACAAGTAAGAACTTTCTTAGAGGTTTTCGTCTTATTCCTTGATGAAACTTATTCAAAGTTTGGTTATACAGATTTAAATCGATATATTCTCTAAGTTCTGTAAACTCTATTACCAAGGGTCTCTCATATTAAAAAAATGATAACATGATCTTGTAGCGGAAACTTAAAAAACTTTAAATTACTCACGAACAATTGTATTCCGTAAGACGTGTAAATATACATTTATTTGCAAGCTTTTTTGGTCTTCTTATAAACGGCAAGAAACCCATTGTGCAAAAAATTTGCAGTTACCCAGTTAGTGTTCCATAGTATGGAAAGATCCGTGTATTCATTTTCATAAAAATTTTTAAAATTGTTATAATTAAAATTTGATGATTTTCTCTAATCAAGTATTCTACACATGCTAGATTTCTGTCTGTTAATGCAGTACTCAATGCATCTGGTAGCGATTTATCACTCGTCCCTTCTTTTCCGATTTTGAATTTTCGACACCATTTCTTGACAGTTATACAAATGAAAGGAACTAATTAGTGTGGCGATTATAAATATAACTACATTGCAGAATGTTATTTGAGTGATTAAATGTATTCTCTCTATTAGTTGATGTATTTATGGATCACTTAGAATCCACACAGATTATGAAAAATCCTGAAATACTGCATTGGTTTCGTTATGTTGATGACTGTTAAGTCTTCATTTTAGGTAACTCCAATTCAGCTCAACTATAACTTTCTAAAATTAATCAAATTCACCCCAATATCAAGTTCACCATGAAACTAGAATCTTTCACGTCAATCAATTTTCTTGATCTCACCATTACCACATTAAATGACCACTTCGACTTCAGTATCTATATGAAACCCACACAGACTGACCATGTAATACCCTTCTCATCCAACCACCCAATGTCTCATAAATATGCAGCTTTTTATGGTTACATCCATCGCCTGAAAACTATTCCACTTTCTCATTCAAACTACACAAAAGAACTAATATATCAAACAAATAGCAGTCAACAACGGTTATGATCATAACATCATCAATAAACTCATCTATAGAAAATGTCTTAGGAACCTGCAGGAGACTGCATTCCCCGGGGATCCTACCACCAAACCAACTACGTTTCACTTCCTTATCATCATGAGAGTCTTTCTGGAGATATTCGAAATCTAATCAAACGTTCGGTTGAAAATATTCAGGTTTCTTTTAAAGTACCTAATAACTTGGGTCAGTATATATCCAATTCCAAAGACCCCATCAATTACATGAACCGTAGCGGTGTTTATAGACTAAAATGTTCTGATTGTGATGCCACCTACATAGGAAGAATATGTAGATTATTGTCTTCACGTCTTTAGAGCACATAAAAAGAGAAAATACTTTCATTTTCTCTCAACATCTTGAAGAACACAACCACACTCTTAATATCCCAGAAGATGTCTCACTTATTCATAATTTCCCACAAAAAAACTTTCTCAAATTAGACTTATATGAAGACCTAGAAATCATTAAAGAAAAACAGAGACGTCCAAATTGTGTCAATCGCCGTATCTCATTCTGTTCAATATTTCCAAATCTTCCTTCTTTCCTCACTTCTGTCTAGGCATCTAAGCGTCAAATCTGACCCCATACCTAATATTCTCCATGCTCCTTTTCAACAAAATAAATTCAGAGCAGATTATTTCACTTCCCCTCCAAAAATAATTTTTCATTAACATACATCTTCACCTACTCAACCACATATCTTCAACTTTTCATACTGTGTTCTTTCATTTTTACTATAACTCCTTTTACTCATCCACTTTTCCTCAGGTTTTGGTTTTCGGATCTTGGGGACTTCAGCCTCTTGTAGATTCTTTCCCTTATCTTCACAATAATATTTAAATAGATGAAAGATGAGATGAGATGAAATCGAAAAATCCATAAACGACATGTAAAGAAATAAAGCGGCCGGTGAGGACAATATACTGGCGGAACTGCTAAAAGAAGGAGGAGAAACGATAAAAAAAATGCTAAAAATACTGTTCAACAAATGTCTGTTTGAAGGTAAAATACCTAAACAATGGAGAAATGCCGACACAACATAAGAAAGGCGACCGAACAGACCTAAACAACTACCGTCCTATTTCCCTTTTGTCACAACTATATAAAACCTTCACAAGAATAATAAACAACCGACTAACCTATAAACTTGATAACTACCAACCAGTGGAACAGGCCGGATTCAGGAAAGGATACAGCACAATCGACCATATACATGCGCTTAAAATCTTAATTGGGAAAACCAATGAATACAACCTTCCGCTGTACTTAGCATTCGTAGATTATGAAAAGACTTTCGACAGCATTGAACACTGGGCGGTTGAAGAAGCTCTGGTCAATAGTAGAATAGATTCAAGATCCCAAAACGTAAGATATTTACCAAAACGCAACCATGATCGTAATTCTGGACGACAAATTAATAACGGATAATATAAAAGTTAAACGAGGAGTCCGACAAGGCGATATAATTTCACCTAAACTGCTTACCTTGACCCTCGAAGACATAATAAAATCAACAGATTGGGAAAACAGAGGAATGTATGTATTAACGGAAAATACCTAAATCACCTTAGATATGCGGATGATATACTCCTGATCTCCTCGGAACCACAAGAACTGGAATTAATGCTGAATGAACTTCATGAAAAATCACTGCAAAAAGGCCTAAAAATTAACTTCAACAAAACAAAAGTAATGACAAACACGGAAGACCAAGAGGCAATAAAAATACAAACAAAAAAAAATAGAACAGGTAAATGAGTATATCTATCTAGGACAAGCAATCAGAGATAACAGAGAAAATCAAACAGCCGAAATATCGAGACGAGTAAGAATGGGATGGGCAGCGTTCGGCAAACTTTCTTACGTTCTAAAAAATCAAACAATCCCTCCTATACTTACGAAGCAAGGTATATAACTCCTGTATAATACCGGTGCTCACCTACGGAGCACAGACATGGACATTTACACAGGCCAATTTGGATAGGATAAGGAAGGCACAAAGAGCGATGGAGAGACAATTGGGTATATCACTTAAAGATAGAAAATGTAACCAGTGGATCAGAACCAGAAGAAAGACAGTAGACGCGATAGAACAAGCAGCAAAACTGAAATGGAAATGGGCTGGACACAATGAACGTCTTAAAGACGGACGATGGAACAATGCCATCGGAAAGTGGCGTCCATACAATGCAAAGAGATCAAGAGGCAGACCACAGATGAGGTGGAAAGATGACATCAGGAAACAAGGAGGTCCCACATGGCAGAGAACAGCTCAAGATAGGGAAACACACACCTTTAGTAAATTTGACAGATCCAGCTTAAACACAACTACTCTTGCAGTTTTACATATTTCCACAATACACTCCATAAGCCTATTAACTTCACATACCTACCTAAACTCAAACTTATAACTCATTCTTTTTTATAGTTCTCAGGTACCAAATGTTCTTTTTAACATATAGGGCCTTTTTGTTTTTCTTGAGTTATAACTTGAGTAATATATGAACAATATCATACCAAACCACCTCTCAGTCATCAATTTTCTTTTTTTCTGGCATACTTGTCAACACACAAAAGCAACCTACACTCTTTATTTTTCACACATAACCAGTAATTTATGTTCATGAACTGTTACATTATTATAATTTTAACTTTTTAAATTTTAAATCATGCTGGCTTCTGTCATTTTTCGACAACTATCTTAAGTTACACTGACTGCTTTGACTCCAATATCCGTCCTAACATGTCACAATGTCATTTTTATCAGTTGTTATCAACAAGTGCTCGAAGACACTTCGTCTCAGGACCATATAACCTATATAGGGTCATACGTCGCCATGTTACCAATTCCAACGGTAACTAACATCCTAATTTGTAATTATATATAATGTAAAACAACTATAAATTTGTAACATTTAACGGGTTTTGACCCATATATTTTGAGGCTTATAGCATGTATACCCCGTGTATTACACATTTTCTTAACCTTAGCAAGATTTAAATTCACGTCTGTAATTAAGTGGTTATTATTTCAGGTTACACTGATGAATTCATCGAAAACGTTCTCTAATGTAATTGTGATAGCCCGTTTGGGCATTTTATTATATACCTTTTATAAAGGATTTGAAATAAAATTTTTTGATTAAAATTACTGTTAATGCAGTACTCAATGTATCTGGTAGCGATTTATCACTCATCCCTTCTTTTCCGATCTTGAATTTTCGACACCATTTCTTGACAGTTATACAAATGAAAGGAACTAATTAGTGTGGCGATTATAAATATAACTACATTGTAGAATATTCATTTGAGTGATTAAAATTACTGTTATCCAGACTAACCTAACCAAAAACGGGTTTCAATTAAACGTATAAAGAGCGTATAAAAGCAGTTTATACCTACTTATTTAATAAAAATAATAATAATAATAATAATACATAAAGAAATACAAATCAGGAGACAATGGAGAATGGAAAGTACCCAGACACTACCTATTGTTCTATCTACTACTGGTGTTATTCCCAAAAACCTCCTAGCAAACATAAAACAGCTGGGTCTAAATGAACATCTTTTTAAGGCCATGCAGAAAGCTGTACTCCTCGCGACGTCCAGATGTGTACGAAAATTTCTGGGAGATACTCCAACATACCAAGTCACCTAGGGCTCGATAACACGGAAAGAGTCCCACCAGAGCTCAATTCTTTTGATACCGTAGGTATCTGGGATGAGTGAATTTTCCCCTTAGAGGGAGTGTGAGCCGTATGGCTAAATCTGGAAAATAATAATAATTGGAGAATGGAGAATGGAAAGTACCCAGACACTACCTATTGTTCTATATACTACTGGTGTTATTCCGAAAAACCTCCTAGCGAACATAAAACAGCTGGGTCTAAATGAACATCTTTATATGGCCATGCAGAAAGCTGTACTCCTCGCGACGTCCAGATGTGTACGAAAATTTCTGGGAGATACTCCAACATACCAAGTCACCTAGGGCTCGATAACATGGAAAGAGTCCCACCAGAGCTGAATCCTTTTGATACCGTAGGTATCTGGGATGAGTGAATTTTCCCCTTAGAGGGAGTGTGAGCCGTATGGCTAAATCTGGGAATAATAATTATACTTTATTTCCTTTTTGACAAATACAATTTGTATAGGATCAGTCACAGTTTAGAAAACAAAATTACTAAATATAAATGTAAATCTAAAATTACGCTAAACCTAAGGTTACA